AGTCTCCGCCAGGCACCGCTTGAGTGGCACGACACACTGATGACTACGCTTGCGTCCCTTGGGTTTGCTCCCTCTACTGCCGACCCGTCGCTGTTTCTGCTCACCGACACCTCTTTGCCGCCATTCTACATCCTCGTGTACGTCGACGACTTGGTCTTTGCCACTGCTGACACTACTGGACTCGCCCACGTGAAGTCCGAGCTGCAAAAGAGACACACGTGCACAGACCTGGGTGAACTGCGCAGCTACCTTGGCTTGCAGATCACCTGAGACAGAGCACGCCGCACCATTACCCTGACTCAGTCACACATGGTGCAGCAGGTCCTTCAGCGCTTCGGCTTCACGTACTCCTCGCCTCAGGCCACTCCTCTGTCTACTCGCCACTCGCTCTCAGCTCTGCCTTCGGATGAGTCCGTGGAGTCGAGTGGCCTGTACCCAGAGCTGGTTGGCTGCCTCATGTACCTGATGACCTGCACACGACCTTACCTTGCATACCCTCTTAGCATTCTTGCACGCTATGTTGCTCCTGGGAGACACAGACCAGAGCACATGGCTGCAGCGAAGAGGGTGTTGTGCTACATGTGCAGTACGTCGGGCATAGGGCTAGTGCTTGGAGGGCAGAGTCCAGTGGTCCTAACTGGGCACGCAGGCGCTTCTTGGGCTGACGACCAGGCGACACAGCGGTCGTCACAGGGTTACACCTTCAGCCTTGGTTCCGGCTCTGTTTCGTGGCGGGCTACTCGCTCGTCTTCTGTTCTCGGCTCCAGTTGTGAGGCTGAGATCTACGCCGGAGCCATGGCTGCTCAGGAGCTTCGCTGGCTCACCTACCTGCTGACTGACCTTGGAGAGCCGCTTCGTTCTCCTCTAGTGCTGTACGTTGACAACAAGGCCATGCTGGCCTTGTGTCAAGAGCAGCGCCTGGAGCACAGAACGAAGCACATTGCTCTCCGCTACTTTCTTGCTCGTGAGCTGCAGCAGCGTGGTCAGTTGCGACTTGCGTACGTGGCCTCTGAGGCCAACACTGCTGATATCTTCACTAAGGCACTTGCGCCCTGTGATCATCAGCGCTTCTGTACTCAGCTTGGTCTTGTGCCTGCCTTGCCTCACTTGCTCACTTTTTGGCCTTGCTTGTACTGTCAGATATATTTACTCATGCTCTTGCTTGTTTAGCCTTTTATATATATGTGCTCCTACATGTGAATTGGCCTTGTGGCCTTGAACTTGTGCTCGAAATGTGTGGTGACTTTGTGATCCACCCTGAGCTTAGCTTTGCTTTGCTTGACGGGTCTTGTGACCCCTTGTTCTCCCCCACTTTGCCTATGGGGGTGTGTCAAATTATAATGTTATGTAGGCTGTAGTAAGGTAGCCTATATAGGGTACACATTTCTAGAGTTGTATATTTGTACCAATTTCATTCCTTCGAAAAAAGTTTGTAATGTTGTCGATTAGCAAAGCCTTCGACGAGGCTGCAGGCCCTCTCTTCCTTTCGAGGAAAACGATGTCCGAAGTAGATGTGCGGCAGCTGCGAATGGCCTGTGCGCCAACAGAACAGGGCCCGAGTTTTTGAAGTCGCATGATTCGCGCATCAATGATGCGCCAGCTTGCTAGGAGAGAAAGCTTCTTGGAAAGCGGACACATTACAAATTTCGTAAGCCAAAAAGGCCGTTCTGCAGGCATTCGGGCTTGTTTTGCTTCGGCAGCCATCGCTTATCGCGAACCTTGATAACCTGTCGGCAGGTTATCGTGGAAAATTCATGGAGCCATGGTAGAACGCATCAGGGGGTGTCCAACTCGTTCAGTACTGTTCGTAAAGCCCTTCAGCTACCACAATTTGCGTTGTAACACTGAATTTTACAAAAATGCCAGACACGAACAGCTCCCGTTTACGATACAGCACACCCCATGCACATACCTCGAATCGTGTGACGCACGCTACAAGAATCAGCGTGCGCGTCGAACAATGGTACAGAGCCGCGTCCTGCCCACTACAGTCAGTGCCCATCGTATCGCGCGTTTGATTTCGCATGTGCCACCTGACACTCGCCAAAACCTATAGTGGAAGTGTTGGCCTGGCAAAAATTCGAACGCTTTGTTTGACGAGGGAACTGGTTACCTTGGTTGCCACACGGCCCCTGCACTGTTAAGTCTGTGGGGGGGTGGTGTCCGCGCGCCAGAATGACAGAAAGGGTGGACTCGAGCAAGGCACGTTCGCTTATAGATATAGTGTTCAGTTTTGAACCCCGGATTGTGAGGAGGTACTAGATTTCCCGAAATGAACGAGCTGGACATGCCCTCAATGTGCATTGATGCGGGCTGATGCGCCTGCTGAACGCAGCCCTGGAGCAAATGCGAAACACATCGCTGGTACATGAGATTGTTCGGGTGTGACTAGAAATTGCTGGTGTTGGAGCTTCGTCACCGACTCAGATTCCGTGCCTCCCTGGTTCGGACTCAAACTTGCGATTTGACTTTAGTTCTCACCCCTCGCTTCACCCCTCGTCAAACTATCCACCTCGTTAACCAATCACAGGCAGCTCCCCTCACCAACTTCCAGCTAATTTTGAAGTGAGAATTTTACTACCGATATACACCCTGTTTCTCGACCCTCTCACCTTGCGCGATTCGCTGCTACAGTGTTGTCAGGTGCCATATACCGTATGGCTGAAACCTGCGGGCAAAGCCGCACCAGCTGACGGAGTGGTACTGGGGGCAAAATTTTTCTTTATCGCTGTTTACCCTTTTTAACCGCTTTGAAACGCTTGGTTAATGTTCTTTACCATGCAGCTTCCTAGCTAACCGCTTTCTTGTGAATGTGCTTGTACCGTCGGTGATAAGACCATTTCAAACGTGGTGACGTTCTACAACCTGTGCATGTTCTGCAACCAGATGCTCTGCTAGCGCGAAACAGGGTGTACTCGCACTGGATGTGCTTAGAAACTAGATTCGAATTAGCGTTTAGAATTGCAGGCCAGGAGATGGTTTGGGGATTGTGGGTGGGGTGGAGCAAGCTCGATTGTTTAGGGCGCATCACCTCGGGGCTGGAAGGCCCAAATCTGAACATACGTAACGAATTCACTATACGAACAGTTTCCCGACGAGACCGGACACAAATTTGAACACCCTGGTGAATGTGACAACTTGTGAGTAGAGGTGACAGCCTGTTCGAACATGCGACGTCGCCTAATGCTGGACGACTTCGCGAAACGTCGCAAGAAAATAATTCAGTCGTCTGCCATTCAAGTTTGACTCATTTTTCGCCCATCCAGTCAAAATGTCTCTTCGTGCTCTTCTACTACTGCTCACCATGTTGTTTCCCAACAACAATGTCCTTTTCGATGAACTTTCTCCTGCATGGCGACATTTGCAATGGTCGCAAACATTCGTGTACGACCCGAAGCCTGCTAACCAATCAAATCAGTCGTCCATGTGGAATCCCTGTCACCAAACCCAACTTTTTTTTGAACAACTCTGTTCGAACGTGCGGAATGGAGAGCTTCGTGCCCCGTGTGACAGCTCTGTTCAGATTCGCGAAATTTCCGACTAGCGATGTCACGAACACCCAGACGAGGAGTGGCTAAAACTGTAACACTTCGCCTGTTCGAACAACTGTGCTGTTCGAACTGAGAGGTGAAGCGCCCTTATCAGAAACCCGACACTGGTACAGGAGGGTTGAGGGCCTAGGAGAGAGGAAGCGAAACAGGACCAAATCTGAAAGAAAAAGGCTGTTGAAACCTGGCAGCAAGTAATCGAGCACGCTTTGTGTCACCTGGGGGGTAGTTAGGGCGTGTGCAATAGGCGTTCGAACTTCTGTCTAAGCTCGAACTTTTAGCGAGGTTCTACTCGGTACGATACTAACAAAAAACATTTCGCCACGGTGCAAAGCGGTTTATGTTCGAGCTCTGACAAGTTTCTCCCGAAGTGCACACGCCCTTAACGTACTTCTAGATTGTACGAAGACTACCTTACCAGACCGGTCTTTGTAGGCGCACACCAACCACTTCCCCCACCAGCTGTAGTGACAGCACAGTCCGAGCTAACACTGTCGGATTGCAGACCCACACTTCTGTGGAGGTCAGGGTACAGTGCTCTACACCCTCGAGTTTGGTTTGTGTCCAGTTTCCATCGACACCACCGAACCGAATGATGGCTCGTGTCGCATCCCATCTCATCCATCTGAGTAGCCCTTGAAGCTTACGCCAGTTCCAACCGAAGAAAGGCATCGAAACATCTCCAACCACGTTTCTCGATTTCTTCCTACTCTCCCCTCTGCTCTTACACGCTTGCCTGAATGCTAGAAGAGAAGCAGCAGAGCACGGGGATGAGCTACCACAACACAACACACGTCCAGGCAGCAGGGAACGCGTGCAGCAGAAGCTCCTCCACATTCTCCCAAGCGATTTATTTCCTTGACCAGATGCACCACCGCTAGACAGGGGCACCATTAGCAAGAAAGTAAATCACGCATCTTTCGTTGCCCGTATACATGCTCGTTATTAGGAACTATTTCCAGCAGGTCCTGCTTCTCGTTTTTCTCTAGAGTCGGGGATGGCGGAGGCGGCCGCAGTGCTGCGCGCGAAGAAGCAGGCGGAGGGGAAGGAGGGGGGGGAGGTGGATGGTGGCGAGGCGTCGTTTTCGAGGTCGAAGAGTTTGTTGGACGAGCATTTCGAGGCGTACGAGGCGGCCAACTACCGCATGTGGGTTCGCTCCAAATCCGACAATCCATCCAGGTGAACCGACCATCACATTCCGTGCTTGCTTGCACGTGACCGTTAGCGCTTGCTTGCGAACGCGCTTCCCAATGCTGCTTTTTTTCTTCCCCCATTGAACGCACACTCCCGACTTGCTAAACCATTTTCCCTTCCGCTCCGCCCATCCCCAACTCCCCTCGCCCATCCCTCTCGTTTCGAAGCCGCACGCCTTCGGGGTCTCGCAGTCGCAAGCAACACAATCTAGATTTCCTCGATAGCCATGGCAGGTTCACGCCGCAAAATGCGGAGCTCATGGCACGTTTCGCGTCAAGCTCGTCGCCCAATCCGTCCGTTCCCGTCGACGAAGACCGGGCGGGGCAATGTGACGGCGGCGATGAGGATTACGGGGGGATCTGTGCGGAGGGCGGAGCGGAGATGTTGGCGGAGGAAGGGAGAGCTGGCGGAGAGGGTTCGGGGACTGAGGGAGCGCGGGACAGCAGCGGCAACAGCAGCAACGGCAGCAGCCATGGGAGCGCGGCGGACGACGACAGAGGGCTGCGCGGCCTCTTGCGCCATTGCCGCCCGCAGAGCAGGTGCGCAAGCAACACGCGCGCCGACGAGAGCATTGCCAGTGGCGCGGAGGGCGGAGAGGGGAAGGCGACCGCGGCGGGGGCTCCGCTGAAGCGCAGCTTGACAGCAGATGCGACGGGGAAGAGCATGGCGCGGGACGCGTTCAACAGTTCGACGGCGGAGAGTTTGGTGCGGTCGGCGAGCGATGTGCTGCAGGACGTGGCGATGGACGAGATGGACAGAGAGGTGCTGCAAGGTGCGAACAGGTTTAGAGCGGTGCTCCACTGGGGGGGCGGGGCTGTGGGGCGACACAACACACGCCCCACGCCCACGCCTCTTCCTCGCGTTTCTCTCTGCCGTATTGCTTCTGGCGTTCCGCGCCATCCGCACGGTTCCCGCCGCTGCTCTCTCCCCCCTCCACACCTCAACGCCCCCTTCTCCATTCCCCCCTCCCCCGCCCTCCCCCTTTTGCGTGGCTGTTGGCAGAGGCGTTTGCGCGCGTGGTGGCGCTGCAGCAGCGCGTGCAGCACTACCGCGACCTGGGCGGGTTCGTGGTGCTCATGGCGCTCTTCATCACCATCCTCTACCTCCAGGCCGACTCCTCCCGCAGCTACGAAATCACCGCCGCGCACGCAGTGCTCTTCCCCCCCGTATGCTCCCCTACCCCCCGCCGTGCTCGTCCCCCTTGTATGCTCCCCCCTCCCCACCTCGTGCTCTTCTCCCCATGCTCCTCCCCACACCTCCCCCCCTTCGTGCTCTACGCACCTGTATCCTCCCCACTTCCGCAGTCCCCACACCTCTTGCGTTGCATGCATGCACTCCCCCCACACTCCCCCCCGCCTGGGCGAGTCAGGACTCCTCCAGCCGCGTCATTTCTGCTCTGCCCTTGCCTGGCATGTGTCTCTCCGCCCTGCTTGTGTCTCTCTCTCCCCACCATGAGAGCAGGGCATGCAGCAGGACGCCTCCAACACCTTCGCTGGTCCGGATGACTTCTACAGTTGGCTCAACACCAGCATCGTGCAAGTGCGCTTCCCCTCCCTCTCCCTTTTGTCTCTGCATTATTGCTCCTTGTGCACCTGATGCGTATTTCCCTGCACATACTCAAGCCTGCCCGCAGCCCACCCATGCAGCATCACACCTCTCTCCTGCCCACATCAAAACCCGCACAGTCGTCAGCTCGTGCACTACTCACTGCCTCTCTCTCCTGCCCACCGCCCCTGCAGAGTCTGTGGATGGACCCCACCTGTGGCGACGGCTCGTGTCACCGCCCCTTCCAGTTCCCCGCGTTTGGCCGCTTTGGTTGTGAGGCGGACTGCGGCACATTCCCCAACCTCACCTCAGTGGTTGTCAGTTTCTCCTCTCACCTCGACATGCATCAGACTGAGGACGAGTCTTCTTGGAACCTCTGCATGGTCAACCCGGTCTCCCTCTGCTGGTATGCTCGCCCTCTCGTCACACACCTTCCCCGGCTGCACGTGCACCCTCCTCCCGCTTCCCTCTACTCTTCTTGCCGTTCCGTCCTGTGTACTCTCCCCATCCCATCGCATCCCATCCCATCCCGTCCCATCCATCCCATTTCACCCCATCCCACAACATCCCATTCCACCCCACACCTCCCCGTGCGGGGCGGCCATGCGGTGCAAGCAGGTACGAGTCATTCCAGCCATTCCCGCGCGGTGATGCGGAGGTGTCAGTGGCGGTGGACATTCCGGACGGCGACTGGGTGGTGGTGCTCAACGCGCCCGCGGGGGGCATCCGCGGCACCGTGCACGCGCCCCCTCCCGGCACGCGCCGCTTCTCCGTCGTCGGCGCCGCCTCCACCATTGAGCTCGCCGCGTGGGGCTACTGTACGCACGACGATGACGTGGATGCAGCCAATCAGGCGCAGCCCAGTGGCGGCGCTGCTGGTTCTGCACCTGATATCTGTCGTGATGTGAGCATGCCGTTGCTCAGTTTGCCAGATGTGGAGCACACTCAACTTTTTCATGCGTTATTCCAAGTGGGTTTGAACATACTTTCAATCACAACTGACTGACTGCATTCGTGTGTGCGTGTGCGCGCGTACATGCGTATTTGCATCCGAACATGCATCCATGCATGCATGCGAGCGTGTGTGCGTGACTGTGTGCATGTGTGACTGTGTGCAGACATGTGAGAGGCTGGTGGCCTGCCTGCCAGCAACCTGTGGGCGAGCATTCACGGAGAGGGAGGTGGCAGGGGCGTTCGTGGACTGTGCGCGCATGTGCATCGTTGCACCCTCCTCCATCACTACCTATGCCAACTCTTCCTGTCCCATGGTGCGCTTCCTGCCCCATGGTGCGCTCCATGCCCCATGGTGCGCTCCATGCCCCATGGTGCGCTCCATGCCCCATGGTGCGCTCCATGCCCCATGGTGCCCTCCATGCCCCCTGGTGCGCTCCATGCCCCATGGTGCGCTCCCTGCCCCATGCTGCGCCCCTTGCCCCAAGGTGCGTTCCTTGCCCCATGGTGCGTGCGATTATTCTGGTAGTTTTGAAGGACAGCTGACACCTGCCTCATGGAGCGCTCTGTGATTCGAGTACCTGTATAGAGCAACCTGCTCTGCCCGCGCCAATAATTCCTTTCTCTCCCTGATGATGCGCTTCATAATACATTGATGGCTTCGGGAACAGGCTACTCTGCCCCATGCTACATGGCACGCCAGCCTGTCGGGCAGCCCTCGTGTGCCATTGCATTGCAGTCTTACTCAGATGAATTCGCGTTCACCCTCCAGTGGCTAGCACAGTGTGCTTCAGATGGTTAGGCTGCCTTCTACCAGTGTTCTACCAGTGTGCCCAATGGCTTGTTACTACCAGCCATCAGATCTTCTGTTCCCATCCCAGGCCAGGGCTCTTCTCATTCTCACTGCCCGTCATCCCAGACCAGGGCTCTTCTCGTTCTCACTGTCCGTCATCCCAGGCCAGGGCTCTTCTCGTTCTCACATGCTCCCTCGCTCCCCTATCCGCTGCCGCCTGCAGTCTGACATCGCAACACTCTTCTCCAAAACCCCCTGCAACGTTTCAGGTACTGTCCCCTCTGCATCCTGCTCTCACTTGTCTCAGATGTTGTCTGTGTGAACACGTGTGCAAGCGTCGCATTCATGAGTGCACGCTTTGCCATTGATTCTTTCTTGAGCACTGTCTGCCATCCCCTCATTGCACACCACCCTCTACCATCCAGCAGTCAACGCCACGGCTCACATCTCTCACCTCGCCCGCCGCAAGGTGCTCCCACCCCCATCGCTTGCTGCCCGCCCTTTGCTTGCTATTCCTTGTGGCCTCCTGCTCCTCTTTTCCTCATGCTCCCTTCACGTTTGCTGTTCGCCTGTTGTTCGTGTGTGTGCATTTCTTGCGAATCCCGCCTTGTCGTGGTCTCTCCGCTGACCCACAGCCTCCTACATACTTATTACCCATCCCGTCTCAGGCCCAGTCACATCACCGCCTCCTGCACGCACACCGCTACAGCGATTGGACCTCTGCTGCCATGCCCGCTGCTGATGCTGCCATGCCCGCTGCTGATGCTGCCTTGCCCGCTGCTGATGCTGCCTTGCCCGCTGCTGATGCTGCCTTACCCGCGCCACCAGTGCTAGGCATACCGGGAACAGCAGTTGAATCGCCGCCACTACAAACGCCTCCAGCATCGCTACCACCACCACCACCAGCACCAGCAGCAGTCATGGCAGCAGCAGCCATCGCTGCAGTGGGAACGGCAGCCATGGCAGCAGACCCCACGCAGCCCTCCCTGTGGTCGCTCCTGGGCGCCACGGATCGCCAGCGACTCACAGCGCTGCAGGTGGCGGTGTCGCGAGCACTCTTCACCATGGCCAAGGACCGCTGCCTGGCCGGCCGTGCTCCGGGAGCAGAGGCGAGGCAAGTGGCAGGAGAGAGCAAGCACACGCTGAAGGGGCCGGGCAGCGTGAGGTGGCGGATAGTGGCATGCCTGTGCACGATGCTGGGGGGCCCTGCCACAACTTTAGATGAGTGCCGATTCACGGATGAAGCAGGGGAGCAAGTGGTGGTAGACGGTGACATGTACGCGTACCTGCAGCGCACGCATGTGAGCGGCGGGCGTGTCATCTCAGCGCAGCACATGCGGCGCTTCGTGCAAACCATGGTGGCGGCTCTGCGGTCCGTGACGCCCATGGCGGACGCGGCTGCTGCTCGTCTTTACACGCTCATGCACTCCTTCGACGATGCCATCGTCACCTCCGACACTGTCGGCTGCTCGCAAGGTGCTCATGGCCGGTGGTCCAAGTGGTGGGTGCATGCCCATGTGCATGCATGCATGTGTGCGTGTGTGTGTGTGTGCGCGCGCGCGTGCGTGCATGTGTGTGTGTGTGTGTGTGTGTGTGTGTGTGTGTGTGTGTGTGTGTATGTGCATGTCTGAGTGTTGCTGTCATTCATGGCACCACAGACGGATAATGTTTGACTGAAGGCACTTCTTTCGCCCTCTTTGTCTCCCTCAGGCGGAGCGTGGCTGCCGTGGCGGGCGGGTGTGAAGCACAACACGACCATCCATGTGGGTGACAAGGTCACCTGGGTGTGGGATGACGACCTCCCACACTCACTCCGAGGTACACCTTTGTCTTGAAAACTCTGCCACTTCTCATTGGTGCTACTATACGTCCTCTGTGCATATGTGCCTATACTGCTCCGTAGAGGAAAAGAGTATTTCTGTTGAGCCTTTGTAATGACTTTACCACTTCCCATTCAGTGGTCCGCCCTGCCTCATGTCCCAACGCTCCTGTGCTTCCTCCACCACCACCACCACCACCACCACCACCACCACCACCACCACCACCACCACCACCACCACCACCACCACCACCACCACCACCACCACCACCACCACCACCACCACCACCACCACCACCACCACCACCACCACCACCACCACCACCACCACCACCACCACCACCACCACCAGTGTCCGGGATGGGTGACGCAGACGAACCGCTGTTTTTCGGATTCGGAGGGAACCGCTTCACCGTGTCACGGCAGATGGCATGCACTTTCATGAATGTGGGCGCTGGCGACAGGAGCGACGACCCCGTGCCGTGCGTGCTAAGTGAGTCCCGATGGTGCGGTAAGTGAGCAATGGCCCGGTGCCGTTTGGCTAAGTGGGTGCGGGTGTGCGGAGGTTGACGTATACACTCGAGTTTGGAACCTGGCTTGTGAGCACAAGGCTACCAAGCACTGCATGATAGGCGTGAGCACGGATCGAACTCAAAATGTGACATGTAGGGGTTCGAGCCGAACTGAATCGGGACCGGTTCGAGTTTGATTATCCATTGGCATCAGTTAAAATCTCCTATTGTTAGGTTGGAAATTCTAGGTGATCACCTTTAAGTTAGGTTTAGTCGCAGAGGTTGACCATCCGTGTCAGCGACTATGTCACTTGAGTGTGCTGTCAGGAGAGGACAGGTCGGCTGCAAAGGCCTTACTTCCATTAATCTCGTGTTGTACTAGACCAACGAAACAAACTCCATGAAACAATGGCGGAAGGAGCCTGGGTGTGCGCTAGCTTAGAGTGTAATCGAGAGAGCCAGTTTGAAACAAATCTTCAATCAAGAATCAGGGACATTTGCAAACTAGTTTCGGCATTTGACAGCCTTCATCAGTACAAAGCGTGAAACAAAAAATTCAGAAATGAAGCAGACTGACTAAAGTTCTCTACGCTCGAAGCAGGCTAGCCAGGAATGATGGAATGAAATGGCGAATGGCGAAATTCTAGGTGATCACCTTTAAGTAAGGTTTAGTCGCAGATGTTGACCATCCGTGTCAGCAACTATGTCACTTGAGTGTGGGGTGGGATAAGAACCTCCTCGCTCGCTCAGAGATATGTCATTCTCATCCCATTTGCAGCAGCCCAGTGGGCCGTTGGCCCAGTGACTTCATCTTTTGGTAGGTCGCGCAGTTGTCACATATGATGCACGTCCGATGGCACGGCGTGTCGGGCCAGTAGTAGGTAGTTGCTCTGTATAGTTTTTGGCATCTTGTTGATGCGGACATGCTTGGAAAGGTTGGAGTCATGAACGTCCAACCTCAGCAACTCCCGTAAATTGCGGTAGGAAAGAATCCGAACTTGGTCAATTCCAGCTTTTACGTAGTACTTTCCTTGTGTAGCCTGACGATGTCGACCACGCTTAAAAAAAAAAGGCCAATCTTGTTAGCCTGTCGGCAGCGGGTTGGAGTGGGCAATTAGCACTGCTGCTGTCTGTACCGAGCGGCACAGTAAGATGTCGGCGATGTTGTTTGCCCCTTTCTTGTACGTGATGGTATAGACGTTGGATTCAAGAAAGTTCAACCACCAAATTTGTTGCGCGTCAAGTGTCGGATGCGCTCGTAGGTACCATAGTAAGTTGTGATCCGTCCACACTGTCGCGTCGACACCTGTCAGGTAAAAGCGCCACGTTAGGTAAAAGCTCCACGTCTGGTAAAAGCTCCACGTCTGGTAAAAGCGCCACGTTAGGTAAAAGCTCCACGTCTGGTAAAAGCACCACATTAGGTAAAAGCTCCACGTCTGGTAAAAGCGCCACGTCCGGAAGGCATACGTGATGGCGAGTATCTCCTTGTCGTGTGCCTAACAGTTGCGCTCGGTTGGTTGGGACTTTGTGCTGTTGCACCCAATTCACGAAAAGTACGTCTATGTTAAACCAGGATCTTGAAACAGTACAAGTTCAACAGTGGGATCGTAGTGTTTCTTCGCCTAAGCAGGGCTGCTATCCGTTATCTTTAACAAATGAGTGACGGAGTGTGTGGTGACTTCTGGTTTGGCCATTCGTGTCACCAAACGATGTCTAGCCTGCTTCATTCAACTCAACATCTTGGCCTGTTGCTGCTCATACATCACCCTCGCCTCGCACCCCATCACTCCTCCCACTATCCTCTACAACCCCACCCTCCCCTCCCCCACCTTGTACCCCTTCTCCCACCAGGGATGGATGACGAGCCTCCCGGTTCCTTTGCGTACAGCAAGGTGTTTGCAGAGCCCATCACCATCCACTACCAGGACGGCTCCCTGTCAGGCACCACTGCCGAATTCCTCTCTTCCTCCGCCTCCTCCTCCTCCTCCTCCTCCTCCACCCCCACCCCCACCTCCATGTCCACCAGTATTCTCACAGTGCTGCCTGCCAGGGCTGCGGTGGATGCTGCTGGTGAGCACTGCATGTGGGACTTTTAGCCCTCGGATG